CTCTCATGGGTCCCTGTACGGCCTCCCATTGCTGCTGTCTCCATCGCCACACTCTGCTGCCATGTGCCACTTTCAGGTCTCTTCACACTGCTGGTGTGTTTAATTTTTTGACATAGGGTGCAGGCAGATTACGGGCCTCACATAGCTGCTGCCAGGCCCCTAATCTGCCATGGGCCCCTATATACCGCCTCCTCATGCTGCTGCCAAGTCAGAGTCTCTCATGGGTCCCTGTACGGCCTCCCATTGCTGCTGTCTCCATCGCCACACTCTGCTGCCATGTGCCACTTTCAGGTCTCTTCACACTGCTGGTGTGTTAAATTTTTTGACATAGGGTGCAGGCAGATTACGGGCCTCACATAGCTGCTGCCAGGCCCCTAATCTGCCATGGGCCCTATATACCGCCTCCTCATGCTGCTGCCAAGTCCAGAGTCTCTCATGGGTCCCTGTACGGCCTCCCATTGCTGCTGTCTCCATCGCCACACTCTGCTGCCATGTGCCACTTTCAGGTCTCTTCACACTGCTGGTGTGTTAAATTTTTTGACATAGGGTGCAGGCAGATTACGGGCCTCACATAGCTGCTGCCAGGCCCCTAATCTGCCATGGGCCCCTATATACCGCCTCCTCATGCTGCTGCCAAGTCAGAGTCTTCATGGGTCCCTGTACGGCCTCCCATTGCTGCTGTCTCCATCGCCACACTCTGCTGCCATGTGCCACTTTCAGGTCTCTTCACACTGCTGGTGTGTTTAATTTTTTGACATAGGGTGCAGGCAGATTACGGGCCTCACATAGCTGCTGCCAGGCCCCTAATCTGCCATGGGCCCCTATATACCGCCTTGCTGCCAAGTCTAGAGTCTCTCATGGGTCCCTGTACGGCCTCCCATTGCTGCTGTCTCCATCGCCACACTCTGCTGCCATGTGCACTTTCAGGTCTCTTCACACTGCTGGTGTGTTAAATTTTTTGACATAGGGTGCTGGCAGATTACGGGCCTCCCATTGCTGCTGCCAGACATGTAATCTGCCATGGGCCCCCGTACCGACTCCTCATGCTGTGACGTTGCAACAAGGTGTAATTCAACCCTACATATGTTAGACCGCCTTTACGAACAGCTAAAGGCCATCACAGATTTCCTGATGTTAAAAAGCGGATAAAGGTACTCCCTGTGTAAACTTAGATGTCAGCCATTGTCAGCTCATGTGTGACACCTGCGCTTGCTCAGGCCCCTTTGAGGAGGCCACGCTATTCGTGAGTCGGCAGGACTATGGGATGAATGAGGTCAAATCGGCCATGGGCCCCCGTACCGCCTGTTCACGCTGATGCTGGGGGTCCCACAGTGTGACCTGGGTCCCTGTACGGCCTCCATTGCTTCCACTCTGCCATGTACCTCTTTGAAATCTCTCACTCACACTCCTGCGGTTGTCCATTTTGTCATAGGTTGCTGGCAGATTAGCGGCCTTCCATAGGTGCCGCCAGGCCCCATATCGACCATGGGCCCCCGTACCTCCTGGTCACGCTGCTGCTGAGGCCCACAGTGTGACCTGGGTCCCTGTACGGCCTCCCATTGCTTCCACTCTGCCATGTGCCACTTTGAAATCTCCTCACACTCCTGCGGTTGTCCATTTTGTCATAGGTTGCTGGCAGATTACAGGCCTTCCATAGGTGCCACCAAGCCCCATATCGGCCATGGGCCCCCGTACCGCCTGGTCACGCTGCTGCTGGGCCCACAGTGTGACCTGGGTCCCTGTACCGCCTCCCATTGCTCCCACTCTGCCATGTGCCACTTTCAGGTCTCCTCACGCTCCTGCTGGTTTCCATTTTGTCATAGGTTGCTGTATGGCCTCCCATTGCTGCTGCCTCCACCGCCACACTGTGGCTCCAAACACTGGTTTTGGCCCCGTGACTGGCCAAAGGAGTGAAGTGTGCAGTGATTCTAAGATCGACGGCACTCATCTGCATGTCATACTGACAGACAGTATTATTTCTCTTCCCCAGCAGACTCCAAGGGCATTTAAATTAAAGGTACAGTGTTCTGCACTAATATTAAGTCTCTCTGAAGCCTAGAAACACCCTTTTTTAAGTTAAATTCACAGCGAATTTATTCGACTCGAATCGAATATTGTCCACGAATTCGCCGAATCAGTCGAATCGAATTTTTCATTTCTTCGCTCATCTCTAATAGTAATGTATATTCTTACATGCTTTTGGGCTTATCTTCCAAAAACTTGAGAAACAATGCATGAAAGGAAAAAGGAGGTACATTAACCAACTTGAGAGCTCTCGGAACGGTTTTACCACCTTCGAGACACAGAGCATTTTTTGCTATTTAGCACTGTGCTGACATTTAACATGGCATATTTCGTGGTCATGCAACACTGTATTATTAAATTAAATTTTATATCTTTTTTTTTCACACAAATAGAGCTTTCTTTGAGTGGGATTTTATCATCACTGGGTTTTCGTTATTTTTTATTATATAAATGAAATGAAAAAAGAACTGAATGATTTTGGGAAAAAAAACACTTTTCATCTACTTTCTGTTATAAAACATCAATTTAAAAAGAAAATCATAAAAAATCAAAATTCTTCAATGATTTAGACTAAAATGTAGGTTTGTACTTCGTCTTTGGTAAACAAGAAAAAAACTCCCAATAAGTATATATTACCATAATTTTTTGCTCACAAGAAGCACCTAGGTTTTAGAGGAGAAAAACAGGACGACAAAAATATTACTGAACCACTGGAAATGACCTGAGACTGCGGACAAGTAAGGAGGAATATGACCCAGAGACTGCTAGGACATCGTACAGGAGATGAACAGAGACTGCGGATCCTACTAGTACAGGAGATGGCAGAGACTGCGGGACACAGTACAGGAGCAATGACCAGAGACTGCGGACACAGTACAGGAGATGAACCCGAGACTGCGGACACCAGTTACAGGAGATGACAGAGATTGCGGGACACAGTAACAGGAGATGACCAGAGAGTGCAGACACAGTACAGGAGATGACCAGAGAGTGCGGACACAGTACCTAGGAGATGACAGAGACTGCGGACACCAGTACAGGAGATGACAATAGAGATGTGGACACAGTAACAGGAGATTGACCAGAGATTGAGACACAGTACAGGAGATGACCAAGAGACTCGTGGACACAGTTCAGGAGATGACCAGAGACTGCGGAGCACATCCAGTACAGGGAGTGCTGAGATGGCCAGAGGACTGCGGACATAGCTACAGGAGAAGACCAAAGCTGAGCAGAACAGTACAGGAGCTGACCATGAGACTGCGGACAGGACAGTACAGGAGTTGACAGAAGAATTGCAGACAGTACAGGAGTTGACCAGAGACTGCTGACAGGTACAGGAGATGACAAGAGACTGCTGGACGTGGTTACAGGGGGATAATGGACCAGAGACTAGCGCGGGACAATAGTAACAGGGAGATGACTAGAGGACTAAGCTCGGACACAGTACAGGAGGGTTGACCCAGAGAATGTGGGACATAGTTACAGGATGACCAGGAGGTCTGCGAAACACCCAGATACAGGATGCTGAAACAGATACTACGGGACAGAGTACAGGAGATGGACAGAGACTGTGAATACAGTTTCTGGGGATGACCAGAGACTGAGGGCACAGTACAGAGGGATGGACCAGAGACTGGCGGGCACAGTACAGGGAGGATGACCAGAGGACTGCCGAACACAGTTACAAGGAGATGACCAGAGGAAGTGGCGGGACATTAGTACAGATGAACCAGAGGGACTGTCGAACACAGTTCAGGGGGATGTCCAGAGACTTGCGGGCACAAGTACCAGGACGTTGACCAGAGACTGCGGGCACAGTAAAGGAGATGGACAAGAGGACTGGGTACAACCAGTTACAGGGGAATGACCAGAGACTTTGGAACAATTATAGGAGATGACAGCATGAGACTGCGGGGACACAGTATCAGATTTGACCAGAGTGAATGCACGAGCATTGTTACAGGGGATGAACCAGAGGACTGCCAGGGCAGTACAGGGGATGACCAAAAGGACAGAAGGACAGTACAGGGGAATGACCAAAGACTGCAGATCAGTTTACAGGAGCCTGACTAGGAGACTGCAGACCAGTACAGGGCGATATGACCATTAAGATTCGAGGACCTTTGGGGAGGGAGGGGGAGTGGATTACCTGAATTTGACTGGTAACCCACACTCCACTTACCAAGGTGTTTGTCCTCACTTTAAGCTGTGCGGGTGCCACTTAGCGACATGCACCGTGAAGCGCTGCGCTTTGTGAATTTTGGTCCCAGCGTTCTTGTTAATGTGTTGTTCAGAAGATGCTCTGAACAATTCAGAATGCTACTAGAGATTCTCATGCGCATGCGCAGTGCGGCACCCAGTCTGAGAAATGCCGGCGCGGGAAGGGATGTACAGTGCTGGACCAAGGATTTCTTAATGTAGTACATGCACGTAACTTTTGGTGGAGATTTATATAGACATCTATATCTGATGTCTTACAAATTGCACCTGCAATCTGCATATCACCCGACTTTTGAAATCATGTGACTTCTCTGTAAGTTCTGCGGTACCTTGCCAGAACACTGACGTTCAACACTTTGCTACCTCAGCCACATTATTACTGGAGATGACGGCCATCTTTGAAAATTTTAAACAATTCTAATGAGATCCTTTAAGTACATGCATGTATACCTCGCTATTATCACTTTATCTATAAGTGTTTTTCCTCTTGCTACTGGATGCTAGGATTCATTAGAGTTTAATACTTTACAGCCACTCTTATGTTTGATCCATTTATGGAGATACATACAGTTGTGAATCCAAAATTATTCAACCCCCAATGCTTGTAAAGGGGTTTAGGGACTATAGTGTACATTTGGAATTGTATTCAGAATCATCATCCTACAAGGACGTTGTAACTACCCAAATGCAACTAAAATACATCAATTGTTTATGTAATACAGTAGTAAATGGTTCTTATGTGGTTTCTTCATTGCCACAATTATTCAACCCCTTAAAGACTACCACTCTGAAGAACAGAGGTTCATACAGGTGCTTTCCATCAGGTATTGAAAACACCTGTGATGTCACCGAGCAGCAATCAAGCATAATAAGCACCAAAATTAGGCAGCTTAAAATGACTGTGATACTCCAGCTCCTTCTAGACATTTACTGGTGTGGTTACAAACATGGTGAAGGCAAGAGAATGGTCCAGGGAAGACAAGAGAAGAGGTGATTTCTCTTCACAGGAAGGGCAATGGCTATAAGAAGATTGCAAAGATGTTAAACATAACAAGAGACACCTTAGGAAGCATCATTCGCAAATTCAAGGCAAAGGGCACTGTTGAAACTACGCTACCTGGTCGTGGCAGAAAGAAGATGCTGACTGCGACTGCTGTGCGCTACCTGAAGCGTAGAGTGGAGAGAGAAGTCCCCCCCCGTGTGACTGCTGAGGAACTGAGAAAATATTTGTCCAGATGTGGGTACAGAAGTTTCAGCCCAGACAATAAGACGCGCACCACTGCGTAATGAAGGCCTCCGTGCCAGAACTCCCAGGCCGTACCCCCTTGCTGTCTCCAAAGAAGTAAGAAAGAGTCGACTGCAGTATGCCAAAAGCCATGTGGACAAACCACAAAAAGTTGTGGGATAGTGTTCTGTGTGACTGATTAAACAAAATTAGAACTGTTTGGGCCATGGATCAACGCTATGTTTGGAGGAGGAAGAAACAAGGCCTATGATGAAAAGAACACCTTGCCTACTGTGAAGCATGGTGGGAGGGTCAATCATGCTTTGGGGCTGTTTTGCTTCCTGCAGGTACAGGAAGCTTCAGCGTGTGCAAGGTACCATGAATTCTATTCAGTACCAGGAGATATTGGATGGAAACGTGATGCAGGTCCGTCACACACCTGAGGCTTGGGAGACGTTGGACCTTTCAACAGGACAATGATCCCAAGCATACCTCCAAGTCCACTAGAGCAATGGTTTGCAGAGGAAAGGCTGGAACAATTTGGAGTGGCCATGCGCAGTCACCAGACTTAAATCCGATTGAGAACCTCTGGTCGGGACTTAAAGAAAGCAGTTGCAGTGCGCGCATAGCCTAGAAATAAAGATTTTGACTGAACTGGAGGCCTTTGCCCATGAAGAATGGGCGAAGGATACCCGTAGATCCGGCTGCAAGACACTTGTGTCAAGCTATGCTTCACGTTTAATTAAAAGCTGTTTATAACTGTAAAAGGATGCTGTACTAAGTACTAAGATTGAATGTCACTTGGGGGTTGAATAAAACTGATAATGCTGTGAGCACAGAAAAGACATTTGAGTGGTTATTTCATTTATAACTGTTATGTTATATTTGTCTGACCTACAAGTGCCTCTTTAATGTAAATGTAAGCAAGACTGGATCTGTATGATCTATAGTCAACTGTCAAAAAATGGCCAAAACACTCAACTTTCAGTGGTGGGGGTTTGAATAATTTTGGTCACATCTGTATGTCTTTTAACGGAATTAATAAATTAAATACTAATTTACTATCCTCTTTATGTTCTGGTGATGGCTTTGTTTGAGCCTCACATGGTTGGATTTCATTTGGATGCCTGTGTTACATTCACTGAGATGCCTGAGCGTTAGCTTTTACCTGCTGTGAGCGGTTCCTATTAACTAGGGGTCCAAATAAAAGGTCTGGCGAGTAGTCCAGGATGTTTTTGAGTGCTCGTTGGAATATCAAGAATCTTTACGTGGTTCCAGATAGGCCACCAGCACCCTTATACTACAAGCGCATTTACTGTTATGATTTACGTCTGGTGAGTGTAAGGACACCCTATATTCTTTTTCATGGAAGTCAAAGAGCCCTGATTATGTGTTTTGGGAAATTGAAAAAGGATTGATCGATTACCTTCAATTTTGAATCAAGCGCACCTTT